GTCCACTAACCCCTTGCCTGCTGTTCCACATTACAATCTCATTGTCTTTGTAGACTGTTTCATCAACAAACAGCAAGTAAAGGCCACTTTGCATTGGCTTTCCCCTTCCGAAAGGAACTTGAGAGAAAAGTTTTCACATAGTGTATCACTAAAACCAGTACAGTCAGTCTTTGGTCAGAAAATGAGGTGATGTTCTGATGCAAGAATCAGCTTGCTTAGTAACCCTTTTTGTCTGCTGCTGCAGTTCTAGGGCGAAATTTTGCAGAAAGCAGCTAACATGCTTAAGGAGAATTGGAAAGTGCTTAAAATGGACTAAGTGGTCAGATTCCCACTCTTCAGAAGTAATGCAGTTTCCAGGAACTGAAGAACTGTTTACAGCAGTAAGATGACATTAGTCAAATGTAAAAGCTTTCACAGCAAATGTCAAGAGCCTTCAGCTACACAAGACCCCTTGTTGGGTTCTGCTCCGATCACAAACTACTGTCACTATTCAGGTTGCAAATATGAGGATTATGCTTGGATTCTGCCATTCTGCCATATGCCCCTCCAAAATACAAACCCAAACCTGCAGCAGTGAAGGCAATTTTATCATTAAATCTGTACTGAAGTTATAACTGACTGCCTGTAAAGTTAGAGGACAACTTTCTGACTTAACAATATAAATATGCAATTTCCAGGGGAAAGGAAAAAAAGAGTATTTATTGTACATGAAACAGCAGTAGATACGAGAAAACCCTACACACAGGACTACTGAAGGCACATAAACTTTGGTCCCGCTTTATATCCCAAACACCTCACACAATATTAAACGCTTGAGAATATTCCCCTCCTTTCATGAAATAATTCACAACTCCCAAATGTTAGGATTTTCTTTTAAAAGAACAGGCCAACAGTCTTGTACAGAACAAACAAGTCATCATAAGACTGTTAAATATAAAAGAAAACTGTGTAATCTGAACAGTATCTTTTCAGTACAACAGTAAAAGTTCTAAGTGTGATAGATCTGCTTTAGATAAAAACATACCAGGACAAAAGTTGAAAGCATTTGAAGAATAGCAGTACATGTTAGTTGGATACAATGACAAGGAATAGGTCTGCATCCTTAACAGGAAAAAAAACAAAACAAACAAACAAAAAAAACCCAACAACCCTGAATCACTTTATGACTCAAAATTAACGAATCTGAGGAGGGGAAGTTGCATCTGTTGCTTTTTTTCAGCATGGATAAATAGTCTGTATACAAACAGGTTTGCCACCTTGCAAACAGAAAGTGTCATATAGGCAAGTCTCTTCAGATCCGTGGAATAACTAACTGAAGCACCAAAAAGACATAAACCTATCTCAGAGCACAAAAAGTAGAACTGACAATACCAGCAGACAATGCAACCACGTCAAGTGAAAACTCAGGCTTTCAGCTGATGTTCCAAGGCATTTAAAGAAGGAAGCTGAAGCTTTACTACTAGGCAAGGTATTACAGGCCATTTGAAAAGCCACCAAGTTTCTCCTGGGTTAAGAATGCCTTGCTACATTTTGAACCAATGTGCTGCCACTGAACAAAAGTAGGAGTTGAAGTAACCCAGGGCTGATTTTTGACTTAAAATACACAAAGGCGCAGAACTCCACCCTCATCCACATCTGGTAGCTGCGGTCAGAGTTTAGCCACTAGTGTTTCAGAATACAACTTCTGCGTTGCACAGTACAACACACTTCACAAGCGACTTGAACAGAAATTAACAGTTTATGTTAAAGAAATTATGAACCTGTATTTAATAACTTAATACCGTTGTATTGAGAGGATGAAGCCAGAGTCTTTCAGGGAGTTGTGCTGTAATAGAAAAGGCAACATATTGCTAGGTGGGACAGTAGGAATATCTCTGACAGAGTGGTCGGCCCTAATCCCAGGGAGAGGCAAGATTAAGGCCTTCAGAGCTTCATTTTCAACCTACATCAGTGTAAGAATCTGTAAAATAAAGCCTGCTCTTCTCAGAGGTTCTGAGCTCGTATATTCTTTAGAGATTCACAAACTGAGTGCAACAGTGCTTTTGCATTGATGGGTCAAGCACGGTTTAAGAATTACTCCATTTGTCCTTATCCTTCTCTAACAGTGCATTATAGTAACATTTTTGCTTTTGGTTATTCAGGGCAGAATACTGAGTAAGATAAGCTAGCCTTATCTAGTACCATCATTCTGTTAAGGAAACATTAAGACGTACAGCTGTTTTTGAGGCTTGTCTGCACTTGTAGAAGCAGATCTCTATAAGAGGCAGTTTGAGAAATACATAAATTCGCAAGTAATCTGACAAGAATTATTTAATTAAAGAAACAGTGATAACAAGAGATAATGACAAAAAGATACAGGACAAATATATAATAAAACAAAACAAAACAAAACCCTAACAGAAGATCACAAAAATCTACTATCCAGATTTCTCTTACGTTAGAAATCTGTAAATCCCTGGCAGCCTAAACTGTAGGCCTCCTCATTTCAAACTGCAAGTAGTTCTGAGCTGATATTAATTCTATTCTAACATGTAGACAAAATAAAAAGATTATTTCTTTCTGTGAGAACGCTGTAATCCTCATCCCTTCAAATTTGTTTAAGCATTAGCACTAAGCATTAGATTAAACAAATTAAAAGGGCATGTAATTTGTATGTTTGTATGCATGTATAATGTGATATGGCACACACATGCTGATATTGAGTGTCAAAATTCATTCTCAAATTTAAGGTTCCTTTTCTCTGCTTTAGAATTACATTCAGCTCTACTATGATTCCTCTGCCCTTTAGCTGTAGTTCATTAAAAAAGCGATAAATCATACATTATGAACAATGTCCCAGTATTAACAAACCACTGTGCAGTAACAAGGCGCATTCCTAGCAACTGTCTTAAACTATTATCAGTGTGACAGCTAAAAAGGTTAAACATAGACAGGAATTACAAATTGAGTATCCTGTTCATTTGCAGACAGGACCTTTTTCAACAAGGCTTCTTACAACGCAGAACTTTGCTAAAAACACAAAGATGATATTTTTAAATAGGTTGCACTGGGAGCTCTGATTCTGCACTCTTTTTTTTTTTTTTTTTTTTTTTTTTTTTACAATTCTTTCTTTAAGGTTAGTTTTAAAAAAGGTTGACAGTTCACCGACTTGAATCAATCATCTCAAAGAGGGGGAAATGGGAAGAGTACCTCAAATCCCAAAGATAAGTGTCTGTTATTCCTAAGCATTTCGCTTTCCATAAAATATAACATTCTGAAAAATTATTTACTTGTGTTGAATAGAACCTACTATTACTACCTGGATAGTCAGCATTTTAGTTACTGTCAAAAGACCATGCTTTTGTTGTATTTTAGAGACCTGGAACCTTCTTTAGTATCATTAGCAGCTGCAAGTCAAGTCACAGACATTAAAGCGAGACAAGCTAGTACATCAGTGATTTTACAGAAGTAATTCAGAGTAACTGTGTAGAAGCTCACTCCAAAATACTCAGATATTTCCAGAATTATACCCTTTGTTCTAGAAAGATAGGAGGAATTCTACAACAAACAAAACGAATGAATGGCAAAAAATTCTGCAGTAATTATAAACAAGCAAATGTGATATGTCACATTTTAAAAAGTGACGTATTTTTGGTAACTTCTGAAAAGAAATAGCCCTTAAAAAGAAAAAAGAACCGTCTAGTGACAGAACTAGTAATGTTCATAGCTTTCTACACAAAAATCTGACTACATCACAGCACGCTCTCCAAAGAGAAATGGAAGTTCAGTACTGAACTTCTTGGGAAATGAAATAATGCTCTTCATGGTAAACTCAAGAACCTGAAAAAGAACTATTTGAAACACCATCCCTCAGGAAGTTAAGCTGCAGCAATTGGAGTGGAGTTTGCTCTTTTGCTTTTTTTTTTTTAATGCATCATTTTATTTTGTCTCTTTGTTGTGCATTTTTCTGGGAATAATTTATTTTTTATTTTTTTATTTTTTGACAAATAAAGGTATCAGACAACTGCAACCAGATAAATTCAAAGAGGTCTGCAGGACTCTGCTTTAAACTTCATGTTTTAAACTTAATTTCCACCTCTACCTTATCTGTACACTAAAGCACCAGAGACTAGAAGTTTGAATATTACTGGGGATGGGAGAGAGAGGAGGGGAGAAAACACAAAAGTAGCAGTTAGGAAAATATTTACAAGAAAGAAAAGAAAGAAAAACAAAGAATTTTAAAAGCCTGCATTACATTTTTCAAGATACTTCAGATAAAACTCAAAGCTGTTGTGTCATAAGCACACAGTAAGGCACATAATAAGAAATTAAGTAAATACACAGTAAGTATATTGATACAAAAAACTCTTGAGGTTTAATTTTTCATCCCCAAAGATGACCTTACCAAAAATAACTTCTTAAAAATTCGTTAAGCCATCACAGACCTGAATATTTTCTATAAGATTGTAAACATTTTATTCTTTAAAGAAATGTAAAAAACTCTTTGAAATCAGGACTATTTTCTCCTCTTATTTTCTTCAAAATACTATTACACAATATCACTTCATAGTAAAATAACACATCGAACTTCCATTCCAGGATGAAGTCAAGCTAAAACTCTAATGTCACAGCTTGGAGAAACTCAAACATCTTTTACTCCACTAAGAAAAGGCACTGCCTTTCCTCTAATAATTTAACCCATACGAACAGCACAAGGTTTATGCTTTAAAAAAGCTATTGTAAAGATTTGCCAAAGTGTGAACACACACTCCAGTAACATAAATACTGTTCAGAGGGCCTTTGCAACCAGCACTCGGCTTTTTCTTCAAGAAAGCCAAGCTCTGTTTCACATTCAAATCAGTATTCAATATGGGTAGAGTGGATTTGTTGTCTTGTTAGAAACATTCTCAGTTTGGTATATTGAAAAAGCACTCTAAAATATTTCATAAGGCTAATCTGAAACAAAAATTCAACATATATTCTCAAAAGTAAAGTTAAAATAGGAAACATGATGATAAATATTATTTCTAAAGAAATTTAATCTTTTTATTGATGAATAATAAGATTTGATCATATACTGGCAGCTGAAATCAGAAAAGATTATCCCCTAATTCTTTGCTGTGTGTACGAACAAGATTTTTCTTTTAAGAGCAGAATTGGTCACAGCTACTTCAGTCTCTATTTGATGAGAGTAAGAAAACTGCAGTGCAGTTTTAAAAGGAATGTTCACAGAAAAGTCAAATTGTAGATCTTGAGAAGGAAACTCGGAGGTGATGATTTTCTCCGAGGTCATAATCGTGAAGTTCAATGAGAGCATGAACTGCTTCTTCCACAGAGCCCAGCTGGATAAGAGCCATTTTGCAATCTCTCCTGAAGGACGACAAAAAACGTTATTAATTAGAATCAAATTGTCATTGTAGTAAGTCATAAACACACACAAAAAAGTGATGCAAATATTTCTTTAGCCACATCATATACAGCTCTTCCTACACAAAATGCAGGTGCAGTGACAGAAATAGATTTAGTTATGCACCTCACAACAGGGAAATAACAGAACCGAATTAGTTTTACTGATTGATAACCTACAGCCATGCCATTCTTCCATAGCATTGTATTTAAAAAAATAAAATCAACCAAAAAAGCCCATCCAAATATGCCAAAAACCCTCTGAAAAACACTGATGTTCTCCCTGCATATGAGATTCTAGCAGGTGTGATCATGTCAAAATAATATAGGAAAGATATCTAAATGAATGCTAGAACAGATTCACTGTAATCTTTTACTCGACATTTCACTCATACAGATCTTATATATCTTTTCCAAGAAGCTAGAGTTATGTTCACTTTCCTTAAACTTACCTGACTTTGAACACACGTGGAATTTATCAAAGGTCAAATATTTTCCATTTAGTTATGCTAGCATAATATTTTCAATTATTCACTTAAAATTTTAAGATTATAATTAGCACAAGCATTGTCACAAGCTGTTAAGCTTTTGCCTATAGATAGTGTTATACACAAATGGAATTTCTCCAAAAAGCAATTAGCCATCTTTTAGGATGAAAGATCTCACAGCATTTTTAAATGAGAACTTACTGGAAAAATCTGAAGGCTTTCACAGTAGATCCAGTACGTGCAAAAAGACTCTTAATATCGTCAAAAGAAACAGAAGTCCTGTTTAAAAGCAAACAAAACAAATCAAAATCTTCTCAACGTGTAAAAGAGCACAGACTACAGTCTTTGCAGCAGTAGCAAACCATGAGTTCTTACTGCTAAATTCAATTCAACCACCTAATAGTACCCCACTAACACAAGCCCAGCTCAAACATCTTGGCTTTGACTCTATGATTTAGCACTGCAGTGTGCTACAAAAAATACTTCAGATTCAATCCATTGCTTTTCATCTTCTCCCATTCCTGCCTTGGATATATTCAGAAAGCATAAAGATTAACTGGTAGCTTCTGAAATATTTTTGTCTTTTAATTACTGCTAGCACACTTCACATATTTTCTATTTTGAAAGTCTACTTCCAAGTATCATCTCAGAGGTGTCCAATATCTCTTTTTTTTTTTTCCTGATTTGAACAAAATTCAGTAGTTTTCTTTCTTCCCCCTCCCCCCAACTCCAGATTAATTGGAGAACAAAAGAACCTTGTGCAAATTTATGTTGAGCTATCACTTCACACACTGTTGACAACATTCTAGCAAGGAAAACAGGTTGCTTCAGTTTTAGAGAACATGCTTCTTAGTAACTCCTTTTTTGTAAGCTTTCTGAATGACTGTAAAGACTATCCTTTAAACAGTGTAAGAATGATTAAAAACTGCATCAACACTACATAACAGTGTTAATCCTAGATTTGATGCAGTGTAACTCTCAAAAAGCATGCCTTTAATATTCCAGGAAAATTTATAACACAGAACTTCAGAAGTGAAAAAATTCATTTTTCCAAGAAAATATACATTAAAACCTGTCAAGAAGAACAGTAACTTTCAATCCATTATCCTCTTCATTATTTACAGTTTCAATCAATTATGCAGCAAAATGACCCATTTTTAGGAAGACACAGAAGATCAATACACCAGTTAGACTTTGTGGCTTTAAGAGCATAACCTAAGAAACATTCTCTTTGCACGAAGACCACACACATCAGTACTCACGGGATGTTGGAGAGATGTAGAGTGGCAGATGGAGGAAAGATGTTCTGGAAGTTCTTAGAGCCAGGCTTCTTAAAGCGATGTAACGGGCTATTGCTGTAGTCCTTCGTCAGACCGTTGTCATCTTCTCCTTCACGAGGGAGTTGAATATTCTGATGTTTTGAAAGAGTTGCACGCATAAACTTCCCATAAAGCTTCTGTCCATTCAAGTTGCTGATAGCTGATCAGTGGAAACATCATTGGGACACAAAAACAGATGATCGGAGGGGAATTAAAAATGGTTCTTTGGATACTGCTCTTGCCTTCTATTTAGAGTCAGATTTCACGTCCTCAGTTTAAACAGCAAGGTCCATCTCTACAAAGTGGGCTAAGTTTCTTCCCCTTCATATCATTACAATTTAACAAGTGCAAGTCTAAATGCAGTGGGAATACAAAATGGCATTGTTCTTAAACAGCTAGCAATAAGATAAGGTATATGAAAAGTGTATGATTTATTAATAGATAAACCACAGGAAAATTGTACAATTTTTTAATAGAAACATTCATTAGATTAAGACTTGCAGGGTTGTTTTTAAGCCACTACAGGAAAATCATTTGCTTACATGAAAGCAAGCTAATCAATATCAACATTTGAAAGCAAGAGCTCATATAAGAAGAGTTGGCAATAATGGATTTTGTTAGGTTAATATAGCCACTGACAGAAGGCAGATTCCTGAGCTTTATCATATTCATGATAGCTAGGACCATAACTGCCTTTAAAATCAGTACCTATTTGAGCCTGGGTTGCATCTGCCATCTGAACCAAAGCATTTTCTTTATTCTTAAACATGATCTTCACACGAAGCACATCGCCATAGGCACCTATGAAAATTCAGAAAGAAAATTTGTATTACTACAAAAAGCACACGTGCAAGTCTGTTGCTTTTCACTAAAATTAGCTTAACAAAGAATAATCATCTCATTAAACAGCTTGCTTAGAACATTAATATGGAGATATTTCAAGCTTGTATATTATTCTTTGAGGCTCAGAAATAGGAAAAAAACACACACCAAGTAGGATCTCAGTAATACAATTGCATGTTTATGTTCAGCTGTTAAGTAGTGCAAGTGTTAAAAGTCCTCTCAACAGAGGGGTATTAAAACATTACCATGTCAACATTCTTCCCTGCAAATAACAAATATGCCATTTCTGTAGCCCGTTTCCTCCAAGACAACCTTTGCTTTTCCATCTTACTTTGCTTTGCCATTCTTTGTAGTGAAGAAATCAGAACACACAGTGAAATTCTTCTGAAACTGCAACAATTCTGTCTTTTTGGTACCTGTGTCTTACAGACACTGACTCAAAAGACCATCATTTAAAACCAGCACATTCTCTTGTGCATTTTCTGGACAAAAACAGAAAAACTGAAGTGTAATTAATCACCATTTGCCACTTAAGTAAAAAGAGCTCTAGCCCTATAGTTTCTAAAGGTACATTTGACGTATCTTACCAAATAGGATGAAAAGTCCATGCGGTGTGATGGCCTGTTTAAATGATAAAATGAGTGTATTAATTTTAAAGCCAGGCAAATAAAGAAACCTAGACCTTAAGCACATGGTAAACTAAAACAATGGGAGAGATTCTAAACACTAACAGCATTAAACCATTTCACCAAAAGCCATTTGCATCAGTAACTAGAGTGTATTCATTCCTGTTAATGCATATTTATTATGCACATATCAAATACATAAACAGGCTAACACTTCAGCTCATGCATTTTCATCACTCAAAACTCAGAGACTGTCAAGCTGGAGAAATTATTAATATGTTAAGTGGCTTAATTACTTGAAATTATTCTTTCTAAGCTTTCTAAGACAGCATTTCATACACTGACAAATCAAAGCAATTTGCTACGCTAAAAGTAGAAAAGATCATTCAGTAAGTCATTTGTCTTTTCTAGACTGCAGATACCACCTAAAAAACTAAAACTGGTTGCAGCAACATGCATTTGCTTTGTTTCAATTTTGTCCCCGTGACCACACGTTACTAATATGCACACTATTTAATTAATACATGAAGCACATATGGAGTGATAATTAAATTGTCTGATTAAAAGCTTTGAAAAGAAAGCCTGAAATAAGTAATTTTTCTTCAGAGATTTTTCATTAAATCCTAATGTACCAACTTCCCCAGTCACTAAAGAAGAGAATTTGCACTCTAATCAACACAAACTTTATTCAGCTGAGACAACAGTTTTGCCCGTAGCGAGCACTAACAATTTATGTTGCATTATGCATTGCAGTATAAAGTTCTAAACGGTAACTTCTTAGATATAATTAGTATTAAGCAAAGCAGCAAAGTCCTAAACATAGATCTGATCTATGCTTCACATATCCTTATTCTGAAAAAGCAGTCTCTTGAGGCTCAGAGAACCATCTTAAATAATTATTTGTACAAAGCTCATCAGAAATCTGTAATTACTTGATAAGATACACTGACAAAACAGTGTAATTGCTTCGTCTTACAGTCCGAATCTATAGCTTTCTTTTAATGCTTAATGTGAAATCTAATTGTTACTAAGAAAAAAAAAGTATAAAACACAGCAATTACTTACAGATTAAAGGAATTGGTCAACAGACCTCTAAACTTTTGAAATATGAATGACTTCCATTTTGACAATACCTCTTAATTTCATAAGTTTTATGGTTAAGTGAATCCAGTGAGAGCATAAAACAAACAAGAGTTTAAAATCACTGTAGTAGAATTGCTTATCAGCAGTTAAGTAAAACTCTGTATTATGTTACGGCCTTTCTAAAGCTGACTTATTAATTAAGAGATGTAGATTGCTTCTAGTTAAGTATACATTAATGCATAAAGTTTGAGTAACAAGTGCAAAGCTACGAAACAAATCACTGTAACAGTAACTCCCTTGGCAGTTTTATTGCAAACACATAGGAGAAAAAACAATTCTGCGGTACTATAAAAAGTGAATAGACATATTTACTGACGTTAAAAAATGGATTTATAGATATGTTATACCAAGGGACACCCATGCTCCTCCTCTTCAGTCTGAGAAAGCTTGCCAAACTGGAGTCGTAGAGTTGAACCCAGTGGTCCCTGGGGGTCCCTTCCAAACCCAGGCTTCACACAGCACCACACAAACCCAAACTCTGTGCGTGAGAGCAGTGCCCAAATGCTCCCTAAGCTCCAGCAGCCCAGGGCTGTGCCCCTGCCCTGGGGAGCTGTGCCATGCCCTCCATCCTCTGGGGCACAGCCTTACCCTGCCCCCCTGACCTCCTGTGACGCAGCTCCTGTGAGGACTGCAGCTGCATAAGGCCTTCCCTCAGCTCCTTTGCTCTGGGATGAAAGACGAGGAACGTTTCATCAATGTTTCGAAGAAAAGTAACTTGCCATGTTTCCATCTTTATTCCTCTTCCCTCTAGTTTCTCTGACTTCTCATGTATGAAAAATTCTTTAGATTTCCCAATGATAAAATGGCACCTTAAGAACTGTAATATCACCGAGGTATCAGTGAGTTTAGCCCTATGTTGTGCACTACCTCAAACATTTTGCATGTATAATCTCAGACAGATCACTAATTACAAACTCACCATTACATTACTAAACTATTTTTTTTCCTGCACGAAATTGTGCTTAGAACCTTTCCACTGCTGAACAGAATTTTTAAGCTTTATCAGTAATGGAAATTTGCTCAAACGAAAACAGAGATCATAGAATCACGGAATCACCAAGGTTGGTAAAGACTTCTAAGATCACCCAGTTCAACCCTTCACCTATCACCAATATTTCCCCAGTAAACAATGTCCCTCAGTATCACATCTGAGTGTTTCTTGGACACCTCCTGGGTCAGTGACTCCACCACCTCTCTGGGCAGCCCATTCCAGCACCTGACCACTTTTTCGGAGAAGAATTTTTCTGTAACATCCAACCATCTCCCTTGGTGCAACTTGAGGCCATTCCCTCTATTCTTATCACTAGTTACATGGGAGAAGAGGCTGGCCCCCCACCTTGCCACAGCCCCCCTTCAGGTATTTGTAGGAAGTGACAGGGTCTCCCCTGAGCCTCCTCTTCTGCAGACTGAGCAATCCCAGTTCTCCCAGCTGCTCCCTCATAAAGCCTGTGCTCCAGACCCTTCACAGCTTTGTTTCCCTTCTCTAGACATGCTCCAGGGCCTCAATGTCTTTCTTGCAGTGAAAGGTTCAAAACTGAACACAACATTCAATGTGGCATTGCAAATACTGAGTACAGAGGAATGATCAGTTCCCTGTTCCTGCTGGCAACACTATTTCTGCTACAAGCCAGGATGCCATTGCCCTTCTTGGCCACCCAGGCACACTGCTGGCTCATGTTCAGCCAAACATCAATCAATACCCCCAGGCCCATTTCTTCTATACAACCTTCCAGCTACTCTGCTTCAAGCAGGTAGCATTGCCTGGATTTGTTGTGGCCAAAGAACAAGACTCAGCACTTGGTCTTTCTGACCTTCATCCTACTGGCCAGCATGCCCAGATCTCTATGTAGGGCCTTCCCACCCCCATGCAGATTGACACTTCCTGTCAACCTGGTGTCATCTGCAAATTTATTGAGTGTGCACTCAATATCCTCATCCAGATCACCAGTAATAATATTTAAGAGGACAGGCCCCAGTACCAACTTTTGGAGAACTGCTTGTGACAAGTCACCAGCTGGATTTAATTCCATTCACCACCACTTTCTAGGCCCAGCCCTCCAGCCAGTTTTTTACCCAGAAAAGAGTGTACCTGTGCAACCCATGGGCTGCCAGCTTCCCCAGAAGAATTCTGTGGGAGACAGTGTCAAAGGCTTTCCTGAAATCTACACAGACTATGTCAACAGCCTTTCCCTCATCCACCAAGTGGGTCACTTCATCACAGGAGATCAGGTTGGTCAAGCAGAACCCTTAGGTGAACCCTTGCTGGCTGGGCCTGATCTCCAGGTTGTCCTGCACACGCCATGTGAGCTTCCTCAAGATGATCTGCTCCATAAGTAATGCTCAGATTTTGGTATTATCAGCACAGAACTTTGCTCATTTGTTGCTTCAACTAAAGCTAATTTGCAATAAGGATTCTGGCAGCTGGTACAAGTAGTGACTTGCATCAGTACTACAGATCAAACCTACCTCAGGGTTGAGGTTGCTGACCAGTAAAACAGAATTTCCTGGAACACTTGGGTTACTCATCCGTACAGATGCCACAGATGTGGTGACTGCAAGAAAAGAAAGTTTTCCAGGTAGAGGTGAAATTGAAAGATTTGAAATTGTACTTACAGCATCACTTGAGACATTTTAGAAGACAAAAGCAGACTAGGCTCCTCAAAAAATTTGATTTTCAATAAAAACAGTGTTTAGAAGTTAAGGTATTCCAAGTATCTGATTAATAAAGCAAAATGCACTTCCCCTCTAATGATAAAGAAATACTGAGCCACGGCAACAGATCCACTGAGAAGGGGATACAAATGGCAGCTCAGAGTTTATCCTGTGCTAGGAAGGAACAGATTGCCATGTTTAGAAGACTACTTATTTCTCTTTTTATATTTAGAAAAGAGGAGACTTCCCCTTTTACCTTTAAATGTGCAAGAAGACTTTCAATTCTTAGAAAAATAGATACTTAGAATTTCTTCTCTTGTAGGTAATCTTTTTAAAGCATTACATTTCTTCATTTATTAAATTAAAAATTATATCAACATACGTTTTTTATTATGGCAAGAAATTTTACTGAGAAGCCAGGTGTATTCTGATAGACTGCTAGCCCCAAATGCAAATGCAAGCACTAATGGCTTTAGGTTTTCTGTCTATTTGTTTGGTGCATGCATGTTTGGGTTTTTGCTTGCTTTTTTTGTTTGTTTTAATTGAAGATGGAACATTACCAGCACCTTGAGGAATGTATGCAAACGGGCCAAATCCACTAGTCCCTACATGTGGTTGGAAGATGATACCTTCGGACCCTGGTAATAGAAGACATTTAATTAAAACAGAGACTTTAACATTCCTGGAAAACAGAAGAGACTTCAGGAATGAGAAAGCTGCCAGCGCTGCTATTCTCACTTTCATCTGTGATTGCATCTTCTATAAATGTTTGAATAAAAATTAAAAAAAAAAAAAAAAAACCCTTCTAATTGAAATCCACATTTCTGTGTTTACATTTTTTAGTCACTTCTTAAGTCTAACATTGCATGTCTCTCAGTGTCCCTCTCTAAAATGCAATTTAGACAAATTTGACAATGAAAGCCCAGCATAGATTAGTATTCATTGAAGTTTAGACATCTGTGGTGCCCAGTATATTTTTTGTTTATAAAACTGAAATGCATTCTAGAAATTTTCTGGAAGCAAATCATGCCATGTTTTACAATGATGAGACATCACTATTTCCTAGATATTTATGAGAAAGTATGGGCTAAATAATTAAACAACCAAAACCAGTCTGAGTTTCTGAATTCTAGTAGCTACTAAAGTATATTTTTCTTCTCAAGCAGAAGCACCTTTCCAGTACAGATATATTAAAAAAAAAAAAAAAAACAAAAAAAAAAAAACAGCAACTGCATTTACAAGCATTAAACAGATTTGGAATACCAGTGTAGAAAGATCTTGCTCCAAAGGTGGCTCACTGGCTTTCATGCTACTATGTGGAGATAAGCACTACCTTGGGTAACAAGTAAGGTTGTGTTAGATGCAAGATTGATTTCTGGATTCTTTCATATGTTAGCACTCTAGACTGTTGGCTTTTTATTTTAATAAATCAGGACACACATAATCAGTACATGAAACCCACCAATCTGCAGTGTCTTAGTACTCAAACTTTCACCACTGACTAAAAGTAAGCTATGCTCACTAACAAATGGTCGATACAAATAATACAGCTCCTTATGAAGTACCAGTTATGAATCACAATAACAATAAATGAAAGAGACACCGCAGATCAAGTACTCATAAATATTGCATAATGTCACACCTCCTCTTATCTGTAGTGTCAAAGCACCTTTAATACAAACAATGGAATACATTCATCAGACCAAAGCAAGTCATTGTGTTCTTCATAATGCACCAGTGTGTGCATTATGCTGACAAGTTCTGGCAATAAGGATATGAATAAAGATACGAATCACATATTCACAATCCAAGAACGATAATGGAAATGTTAATGAAGAGATAAAGAGCTTTCATTCTGCCAAATGAGATCTGCATGTTGCACACTGATACCAAAATCATACGTGTAAAAGTTGTCAAACAGAACTAATGCAGAAAGATCTGGAACTCTTTGATGCATGTTTTATTTGTAAAACCATTTGCTTTACAGCTGGCAGGTAGCTCTCAAAGCATACTCATTCATGTATTTCTGCCCATGCTGAATGGATGAGGAAGATTTTAAAATTCAAAACATTCACAAAAATGTGATTTTTTAATTCTTTCTTTTTTTATTATTTTTTACAGTGCAGTATCTCAAAAATTTTAGTTTTACTATTAGGATACCTTCAAGTCTACAGTAAAATTGGATGCATTATTCTGATACCTGCTTTATCATAGAATTATAGAATGGCTCAGACAGTTCTCCCTCAAACCTGCCTGTACCAGTAATAAAACAGGAAGCATAAGTACTGACATGACTCCCAATGTCTTTTCATCGCATCATTCAGCCAAGTGGTATTTGAACACACGTGTGGCAGCAATTAATCTGTTTGAAGATTTGCACTTATTATCAAAGTTGAACAAACAAGCATGCATGTGCTGTTTATGCCAAAAGGGCTTCTCAAAGTCACTTCAAGTAGATAATGCTTTCTCTATGCAGTGGAAGTGACTTTCAAAATTTACTAAAGGAATTCACTAAAATTTTCTTTCAGAAGGCAACTATAAAATGTAATTGCAGAAATTGTGTATTTCTTATAGTTTATTCCCAAACATTTACTTTCAAGTAGCTTTAGGGAATCAGTCAATTTTGAATGGCTGCCATTGACTTTGCTGATATGCAATGTCTATTATATTGCCTTACACCAATGATATAATTCCACACCACTCTAAAAACACAGCTTTTTGACAACGCTTATAATTTCCCCACCTGAATATATTCTGATAACCATTTATCTGAGCACGGTTTCAAATACTCGTTTATCTAGAACAGGATTTTCTGCTTTCAACACAAATTTTACTGAGTCTAACAATTAGGGTTATACATAAAATGTTCTTTTGTTTGTTTGTTTTCAACAGAATCTATTATACAGCCAGAGAATAAAACTCCTAAGAGTATGCAGTGTAAAAAGCATAATGATCATACTGCGTTTTTATCACAAAATAAGGCCTTCTTACCAAAGGCAGCAATTATGGCTGGATCCAGGGGTAGTTGGACATCAGAAGCTGGAAGGTCAAAGCGAGTGAAATCTCTGCTTTTCTCATTGTTGTACTTCACCTTAAGGCTTGTTAACTTTGAGAAATCAATATGTAGAGTGCAGCATGCATTGTAGATATTTCGGCCATCCAGAGCCTGGAAACAAATGGTTAAATTTTCAGGTACAACACACTTTGTTGCAAACCTCCCTCCTAAGTTTATTTTTATCTGTATCAAAAAAGAGAAAAAAGGGCAAGTACCAATAGATAAATATTCTGCGCCTTTCATCTCAAAGCTGAGTATAAAGGCAACCCTTCTGGACTAGGCCCATTCCAGGCAGCTCGAAAGCAGAATGCACTGGTGGTGCCTTTGTGATAACATTTTTAAGAAAGAGTAAAAAAACAAAACTGCACATCTGCTGCCAGAGGGAGGAGTAGTAAACATGAGAGAATTGAGGTCAGTGCAGGAGGAGGGCATAACGTGCTCCACGTGCGGAGCAGCAGCTCCCTGCAGCTCAGGAGAGGCCCACAGCAGAGCAGTCTGCAGGCTGTGGGCACTGCATAGAGCAGATCTCCCCACGCAGCTGTGGAGAAGCCCTTGGTGCAGCCGTGGATGCGGCCTGGAGAGGTACAGCCTATGGTACGACTCATGCCCCTGCAGGAGCAGGCCTGGGCCGGAGCTGTAGCCTATGGAGAGGACCCCAGAGTGGAGCAAGAGCTGCATGCAGCCCATGGGGAAACCAGTCTGTTCCTGAATGACTACATGCCATCCTGGAGCAGTTCTTGAAGAACTGCAACCTGTGGGAAGAGGCTACAGTTCACATGCAGCCTTTATGAAGGACCATATTCCACAGGAGAGACCCCACACTGGAGCCAGGGGAAAAGTATGGGGAGGAAGGAGAGTAGAGACCAAGTGCTATGGACTGACCACAGATCCCATTTTGCACACACTTGTACTGCTTACAGAAAGAGGAAGTAGTAGAAGAGACAGGAGTGAAACAGAACCTGAAAAGAAGAGGTGTGAGAGGAAGGTGTTTCTAGTTTTGCTTTTAGTTCTCACTATCCGTATCAATGTGAAATAAATTTATCTTCCTCAAGTTGAATCTATTTTGCCCATGATGGTAACTGGCAAATGATATTGTTCTTAACTCACAAGCTTTTCATCTTATTGTCTTCCTGTCTTGCTGAGGAGTGAAACAGAGAGCAGCTTGGTGGGCATCTGGCAACCATTCAGGGTTAACCCAGTCTTCAGATTAATCCTCACCAAAAACAGTTTAGTTTGACACAGAAAAGACTTTTTGTCACAACCACAGCTACTAGTCTTCCCTACCAACAGCCCTAAACTTTGATTTGGTAGAACCATACTGACTGCTGTCTGTGTGCTATACACTTTCTTACATTTGATGGTAGAGTACCATTCTAATGAAGGTTGTCAAAGTTATTCTAGTGCAACAAGACAGTTAGAATGAAAAAAAGTCAAAGTTAATGGGCAAGCTATCAGTAATGTTAGCATAGTGACCATCTTACCTGAGGAAAACACGGTGAGTACACTGCACTTACCATTTTGGCATAATATGCATTCACTGGTTCAGCATACTGGATCAAAGCTTGAAACTGATTATTCCTTGTAAAGGTGACAATCTTCAAGACAAATCCAAACCTAGAGAAAATCTGAGAAGAAAGAAATACAGACTTTAAATTAAAAAAAAAAAAAATCATTCTGTGATTTAAAACAAAACCAGCATTTTGATACTTAATATAAATTTTCTGAGACATACCTTTAGTAAGAGCTGAATAGAAATGAATTGCTATCAGAATTTGTTTCAGGTTAAAAAAAAAAAAGAAAAAAAGAATATATAAAAGATGGGGAGGAAGGATAAAATTCCTCTGAAGGATTAGCAATGAACTAATTCTAACTAATAATAATGACTAAAAAAGATAAGACCAGCCTAAGGAGGCTTATGTCCCATGTCAAAGCTGAGTTATGAGAAATGGACTTTCACAAGTCAGTTAGATAGGGACTGTAAACTGTCAAGATAGGCAACCTTAGAGCCTGTATTTCAAGCAATTTCTGCAAACTTATGATCAAACATCTCTCTCCAGTAAGTAGTTTGTAGACACATTAACAACATAGGTCCACTGTCTTAAGTGGAAAACAAGGAAAGAGGCAAGACAAGCATTTGCTTGAGACCCATCCTTTTATCGATGTATAGATGTATCAATTTATAATTGAGTGGTGTTTGATTTACTGCAAATGTAGGCATTGCAGAAAAGTTTTTAAAGGCTGAAATTTTGTATGTATATATATATATACACACACACACATACATATACAGAGTACATTCAGAATGAGAGCACGTAATACACAAAACACTCATGTGACATAATGACAGCTTCTGGGGCACACATGGAGAATGTGGACAAAAACGTAGAGAGGTTAAGACACAACACGCAAGTGCAAAGAAATGACTGCAGAAGTAACAGTGAAAGAGGAAAAGTGAGTTTTGAAAGCACCAGTAGTTCTAGAACGAAGTTCTAAAGCAAAGAAAAGCACCACAGCAATCAGAACCCCTAGAAAAATATTAATCCTAGAAGGGAAAGATATACAAGAGATAAGGACAAGCATCTCTTTCCAGCCTATTAGCCTTAGAGTCATAGAGTCACTGCTCTAAAACTTCATGCCCAGTTTTTCAGGATTTTATGCTACAGTCACCATTTCCTGGTAGAAGACAAAGCAGAAACTTTTTTTCAAAGCAATTTAAAGCTAGCTATCCAGTTCCTGTTCACAAAACACTTCCCCTTAAGAAAGGTCTAAGTGCAGTTTCTAAATGTGTGCTTCCATGCACATTTCCACAAAAACAAATAGACATTTTTAAGATATACCTGTTTGTTTCTAAAGCGAAACCTCACAGCTTTGTTTCTACAAATATAACACCAGCTATTCTGTTTCTTACAATAGATATTTTAAGGCAGATTGTGAATAAACAAACAAATAAATACTATATGTAAACAGAAGTTTTGTATGACAGCCTGCCTATAAGTATATGGTACTATACTTGTTGGTAAAATTCTCTCATTTCTATTAGCTTTCCACACTTACAAAGCTAGGTTTCTCTGCAGCACTGTAGCTCTCTATCATGCACAAAGTGCTGCTTTAATTAGAGGATAGTGTCCCTTATTATGAACTCCAATTAAGCTCCCTTTTCAAGCGTTATCTGATTTTCTAGACCTATTGCAAAAATAGTTAACTGAGGGTTATTGGACAACTCAAACACAGAGAAATACAATTTCGCTGCACAGAAGTAAACATTAGTCAGATTAAAGTAATATAATATGAATCCCTTCTTCCACTGTCTGCTTTGTCAATATCAAACAAAAAAAAAAACCCAAGAGCAATAACAAAAAGCAAGAGCACACAAGGTTAGATCCAGGAGTTGCTGTTGCTATGCACTGATAGTTAGCTAATAGACTATTCTGTGTACACTAATTGTTTTAAGCAGTTGACATACAAGCTGCATGATTTATTATTGATTAAATTACATCTGAAGGTATAAACAAAGTTTAGATCACAAAAATTTTGACTTCTAAGTGACAGCTAGCAGCACACAAATTAATCCATTCTTGTTGGAGGGACAAAGAGAAAAAATTAACGTAAGGAAGCAAGAGGAAATAGCAAGTGTTGATAACAAGCATTTGAGATGCTAAGTAGAGCAGCAAAAACAGTTTTGTCCAGACTGCAGCTCCTTGTAAAAAATCGCTAATCATTTTAAATCATATTAACTCAGGAAAATCATATTAGGGGCATGTGTTGCAAAGATTTACTGGTATTTATAAAAGCTTCAAGTATGAAATTCTTTGCAATACCTGAAAGAAAAATATTGACAAATCCTCAATAATTACAAGCAGGAATTACAGTAACGTCTTTCATAGCTATAGTCTATTACTGTAGTTCTGAGCAAGCAAAGCAAGCGACATTCTAAGAGCCTACAATAATTTAAAATATTTGCCCAACCATCTATACTTGCATGTAACATCCCTTGTACCAACTTGTAAGAGTGATTTTAAAATGCTAAAATATAACACAAACTTTAAAAAGTTACCAAGCACAAGGAGTAGTAAAATAAGGCAAGAATTCACTAATTCCTAGGCACAAAATTCAAAGTAGCAATTTGAGCTCATTATTCCTTTCACAGAACTCTTGCTACAATTTTAACTAAGTTAAAGAACTACAAACCAGAGAAGAAACAAAACCAACCAACCAAAGCAGGAGAAAAAATCATGAAAAGCCAACTAGAAAAGTCCTGTTTAATCCAATTTTTAGGGTGGTTTTTTGTTTTTTTTTGTTTTTGTTTTTCTTTTTTGAGTAAAACTAATTCAAGCCTAGATCTCTAAATTACAACAAATCACGTTGGAATGACAGTCTTTATTCAAGCTGAGTCATGCATGACTGATGGCCCATAGGTACTTAAAAAAAAAAACAAAACAACCCCATCTATAGTGGCAACACAGAAACAGATTTTACTGTTTGTTTTACCAATTTTTATTACCTGATACAGCACATCTAAAGTGACAGGGTAGAAAACATTTTCAACAATGATTCGAAGAACAGAACTGTGACTTGGAGAGACCCCACCTTCAGGAGCAAAAGCACTTGTAATAGCCACGTTTCCATACTGCACAGTATTCACAGCTTGCAGTGCAGCTTGAGCATTCTGAAATCACAACACAGCAGAGACCACGATTAACTTACACACATGCAAACTATTTATGTCTAAACAAAGATCTCTTACAAAGCAAAGATGTAAAATGCACTTAATGTGCAGCATTTAAAAGCCATATTCCCTCTTCTTAAATATCTATCGAAATACAACATTTTAATGGATTTTCAACCAGTCAGTAAAGCACAAACTGCTTGGTTTGCTTTATTAGGATTTGATTTTCTCCAGGAACTGAGTTTTGGCAAACACAACCTTAGAAGGTGCACATTCTGTTCTCTTTCTTCCCAGAGCCAAAATATCAGCTACAAAATAAAGCATTTTTAACTCATTTCTCAAACTACCTCACTGGAATTTGAGAAGTCTTTTTGACTGGACCTTTCTCAAAAAGACATTTGGATTGCTTCTAATAGCCTTGCAGAGAGACATTCCTTTCCAAACACAGTGCTGTGACTTGAAGCCATACCTCAGTAACACCCTTCTCTTGGAAGCCTGACTAAACATGACACAAGGTGTGGATGTTACTCGATTTCTTCTAAGCTTCCAGAATAAACTGTCCTCAGAGCTGAGCCTAGATACTAAGACATCAGTAATTTAATGCTCAGTTGCTAAGCTCTCTAAAATTTAAATAAAAAACTCAAATGAAAGGGTCATAATTGAATACATACATTTATATTCAAAAAGTAGGGAATATTGTTTTTGTAGGAGAAAGAAAGTATTCCCTCATGCACTGAACTGAAAATGATAAGAAGTGGTCTTATTTGCAAACGTCACTTTTTTGAGGCTGTTACCTTCACCACACCCTTGAATCTTGTTGCCTTATTTATTTGTTTTTGCAGATAACAAACCAATCCAGCAAAGAGACAAATGACACTTATCAGAGCAACAAGTTAGCAAGATTCCAGTACCTTTCATGTTAGCACAAGTTAAAGATGAGGCCTGATTGTTGCCCTAATCCCTATATGCGGTATTAGTACAGAAAATAAGAACTGTTACCCAACCAACCACATTCCAGAACTTATTTAAGATACACTTATCTTTAAGAAAACACAATGTAAAAATGAAGCCCTATGGTTTTGTGGGAGGCCTGCTACTACATTACTGACACACTGACAGGAAGAAAGGAAAGAGTCAGTGAGAAGGGTTTACTGGACAAGATGTGGTTATTTTCTTCATGCCCTGAAGTTACTGAGATCTATCTTCTAATAATAGAACTTATGAATGAAAAAGTTCTTTCCAAACATACTATATGAAGTATTTTTAAGTTATGCAGAACATAAAGACCACAGAAAAAAATGTGTCAGTATCTCAAGCCAATACAAGTGAGAGGCTTCAAAAAAGAAAATTAAAAAAAAGAAAGAAAAAAATAATCAAAGCAGTAATAACACTCCAGAAACAAAATCGTTAGAAGATAGAGTTCACAACATATAAAAAATCAAAGTAATCCAGGCAAATTGACATGACTTCTTCCAAAGACAGGAAAAGTAGCAACCTTTTGGACTTCCAAACCACGGAATCAGTTTGCTTTTACCATTGTTCAGAAGTACACAGCAAGATTTCTTCTTCATGCATCTCTCGCCCTCACTCCTCTTAGCCAGATTAAAGAGAGAAAACACGTCAGGCTGGAGCAGGAAGGAGTAGAGAAAAAGCAATACAAATAGACCACAGCTTCCGTTCCCTTTCTCCTGTACTGAATGGGAAGGGGAAGAGGTAACAGCAGTGAAGGGAGCAGAAGTGAAAGGCAAGGCCTTCAGGTAGATATGGTTTTCGGGTTGTGTTGGGTTTTGGTTTTCTGCTGTTTGTTTTTTGTTCTTTTTCTTCTTACTATCCTACTCTACTTTTAAAGGGCAGAAAATTAAGTTCATCTTCCTCAAATCAAATCCACTTAATCTATGATGGCAGGAGGTGAGCAGTATCCCTGTCATTATCACAGCCTATGAGTTTCATCATCATATTTCCTTCCGTCGTGTTCTGCTGTGGATGGAGTGAGCACAGCTTGGTGCACACTTGAGAGACATTCAAGGTTTACACATTGCAGGCATAAAAATGTGCATTTGAAGTCGCAGTATCATGGTGACTTTAACAGTAATGAAGTTGATGACAAGTTCTAGTAAACTGAGCTTCCAAATGCAGTTACTTAAGGTGTAATACGCTCACCATAGAGATCACTGCTACTGAGACAATCCTACTACATTTTTCCTCTGAATCCTGAAGTATTCAGCATATTACCCCAGAAAACTGTTCAGTTTTTAACTGCCAAGTTACGAGCTGAATCATTCAGAAGAATCCAGGAAGCACCAGAGCTATAAAGCAGAGAGTAAAACATACAGCTGGAAGCAGGAGAAACAACATCCAAGATTAGCTCATTTTGACAGTAAAATGCTGCTAGGTGAGTTCAATTACTCACGGAATTGCTACTTCAAGGATATCTCAAGCTCCTTCAGTTTTTAATACTGCTAATTAACAAACAAATGCTCATTAAAAAAAAGTATCATTAATGTCACATTTCTACTAGAAACCTAGTCCAGAAGTCCAATTAGAGAGCAGTTACTCTTTAGAGTAGCTGCCTCTGAGAATATCCCTTAGTCACTTCTTCCCCAGCTGTTCAATACTGAATGTAACAACAATAATACCAGCGCTATGAAATACAAATGAAACATTAAACATAGAGACTTCTCAAAAAGTTATATACTTTCCATCCCAATTAATGAATTCATCATTTAAGAGCTTGCTTTCATATAGTACTAGGCATTGAGGGATATTACAAATGCCAGCTTACACAAAGGGCACAACTAACAATATAATATGTCCATCAATGAAGCATGGGCATGTAGAGAGATCAAAACCCTGACATTATATGACTATTATTAGTACAAATTACAGTAGTTTCAGGTAAATGAAGCTAAGTCTTTCTCTTGCATTAAGATCCACTTAAAAGGGCAACAGAGAGTATTCTCAGTCATTGGAAACTGAATCTATAATTAGACACTTGCCCATCTCAGAAAAGGACCTGGAAGTCCTGATGAATGAAAAGCTTAACATGAGCCAGCAATGGTGCCCTTGCAGCTCAGAAAGCAAATGGTATCCTGGGCTTCATCAGAAGAGGGATGGCCAGCAGGGACAGGGAGGTGATTGTCCCCCTCTACTCTGCTCTTGGGAGGCCCCATCTGCAGTACTGTGTCCAGGTCTGGAGTCCCCAGTACAAGAAAGACAGGGAGCTGTTGGACAGGGTCCAGAGAAGAGCCACAAAGATGAGCAGGGGACTGGAGCACCTCCACTATGAGGACAGGCTGAGGGAGCTGGGCTTGTTCAGCTTGGAGAAAAGAAGGCTGTGGGGTGACCTCATTACAGCCTTTCAGTACCTAAAGGGAGCCTACAAACAGGAGGGGAATCAACTCTTTGAAAGGGTCGATAACTGCAGGACAAGGGGAAATGGTTTTAAGTTGAGGGAGAGAAGGTTTAGGTTGGATGTCGGGGGAAGTTCTTTACAGAGAGAGTGGTGAGGTACTGGAACGGGCTGCCCAGAGAGGCCGTGGATGCCCTGTCCCTGGAGGCGTTCAAGGCCAGGTTGGATGGGGCCCTGGGCAGCATGGTCTAGCATTAAATGGGGAGGTGGTGGCCTGCGTGTGGCAGGGGGGTTGGAGATTCATGATCCTTGAGGTCCCTCCCAACCTGGGCCATTCTGTGATTCTCTTACTAAACCTCCTCAGTGAGAGGAAAGTTCCCATTCTTTTCCTTATACAGAAGGCTTGTTCTTTCAAAATGAAGGCACAATCATCTTATGACAAAAGCTGTTTCGCAATGTTAGCCTTCATGATCCCTGATGCAGGGCTCTGCTAGACAGAAGTTTACATTTGACAAATATCATTAACAAAACAGTAACTCAATATCTTGTTTTTAAGAACAGGAAGTTATCTAGAAAAGCTTCATGGAACTGTTTTGACATCACAAAATGATTCCTTTTGACATTACATGCAAGAAAACAAATAGTTATCTCAGTGCCAACAAGACAAGTATTTTATTTTTCCATCAGTCTGTGTTTTACGTAAGAAAATAATACTAGAAATAGTGATCTCTACATTCGCAAGACATAATATGCCCTTTAGAAAACAAATATGGTTATATAGCTACTTGCTGAGAATTTATCACCAACTGTAGGAAAAAGGGGTTTAAGAAATAAAGATTAGTATATGCAAGAAAGAAGTTATTATCTGTAACTTCCATGTATCAACACTTCCGATATACTTGAAAAAAGAAAAATCATTTTGCAGCAGTCTTGACTGTTTATCAACCAGTTGGGAACAGAGAGCTCTGAAGAATTCACCAATTTTATCTGTTAATTCCCAGAAAAATAATGAAGTTCTTAGAATCTACAAAGAGAGAACCAGAAGCACTTCTTCCTTCATATTTTGTTTCATTTATAATTTGTGGTTGAACAGCAGTCATTTTCTGTATTTTTTGCAGGAATTTAGTATTCTTGCAGGAATGTATAAGAGTGCTTAACGCTTCCTCCCAAACAATCCAAGAGTGTATTTAACTGAAGCTCTGGAGCAGAATGGGGCAAACAATTGACTCTTCAGCACTGAATACAAACTGGGAGATTCCCAGAAGAAATAAGGAACTTTTCTGCAGTAGGCAATAAACTCTACTCTGACTATATCACATCTCATAGGAAAGAGAAATTAGATTCTCCTGAAGAAGCTAAGCAGAACTTGAAGAAGTTCACCATACAAAACCACAATGAATAGATTTGCTTTTTCAGAAAAATATATTCAAGTCAGCTGACAGACCTAATAGAATGATTCCTTTCTAGTTGTTTTCTAATTGAGCACAGCCTCAGTCTCACTTTACATAAACAAGACAGGTGCATCCTAAGTCTCTGAGTAGCTGAAAACATAATTAAAAAAATAAACAGTTGAGGATGAAAGGTACCTTTAGAGATGATCGAGTCCAAGATCCCTGCTTCAAAGAAGTCACCTAGCTTAGATTGCTTACGACTGTTTCCAGCTAAGTTTTAAATGCTTCCAAGGATGGATACTCTATAACATCTCTGAGTAACACATTCCAATGTTTGGCCGTGCTCAAAATAAAAAGCTTTTCGTTTGCTTGCTTTTTAAATTTCAGTGCATTTTTCTGTATTCGAGTTTATGAGCGTGGACTCTTTTCAGTGATGCCCAGTGACAAGAAAAGGGGCTGTCTACACCTCACCCCTCCCCAGGTATTTGCACACATTGATAAAATACCCCTGATTTCTTTTCCCCACGCTGAATAAACCCAGCTCCCTCTGCACCTGTATGACAGGTACTCCAGTTTCTCAACTACCTTCATGGCCTTTTGCTGGACTTGCTCCATTAATGTCTATGCCTTTCTATTGAGGAGTACAGGATTAGACTCCATATTTGTGTCTCACTAGTGCTGAATAGAGAAGAGTCACTCCCTATCAATCTGTCAGTCTGAAGGCAGAAGTCTGCTTTCTGCAGCTGAGGATGCTGTTGGCTTTCTTTGCTGGAAGGACACACTGCTGCCTTATGGTAAAGTTGGGTTCATGAGCAAACACAGATCATTCTGTAGGCTAGCTAGCTGCTTTCCAACTAGTTGCTCCTAACACAAAATTATCACCTGGGTCTACTCCTTCTCAAGTGCAGGAGTTAGCATTTTCCTTTGTTTAACTTAATCAGACTCTATGAGTTCATTGCTCCAGCATGTCTAGTTTCTTATCAACAACAAGCAGTGCAACCATCTGGGATGTCAGACACTCTTCCCAGCTCTGCATTATCCATGCTGAGGATGTGTCCCATGTCATCATCTGTGATGTAAATGAAGATCACAGAATCACAGGGTTTGGAAAGGACTCCATCAAGTCCAAAACCCTCACTAAAACAGGTTCCCTAAAGCACAGGAAAACTACCAGATGGCTTATGACTGTCTCCAGAGAAGCAGATCACAATATCTCCAGGCAGGTTGATCCTGTGCTCTGTTGCCCTCAAAGCAAAGAAGTTCTTTCTCTTGTTCAGATGGAATGTCCTGAGTTCAGGTTATGCATGTTACCTCTTGTTCTGTCATTGGGCACCATCAAAAAGAGCCATCCACTTGACTCCCTCCCTGTAGTTACTACTACTGTAGTTACACTGGTAAGATCCTGTCTCAGTCTTTCCTCAAGGCTGAGCAGCCCCAGGTCTTTTGACCTTTCCTCATATATGGAATGCTCCAGGTCCTCAATCATCTTTGTGACTCCCTGCTAGACTCTCCCCAGGAGTTACCTGCCCTTCTTGAACTGGGGAGCCAAGACAGAAATATGACAGATGTGGCCTTATCAGGGCAGAGATCTCCTCCCTCACTCTGCTGGCCATGCTCTTTGTAATGCTCACCAGAATACCACTGGCTTTCTTGGCCACAATGGCACATTGCTGCTTCATGGTCAGTCTGTTACGACAACTCTCTGCATATTAAGATAACATCCCTATATTCTTCCAGGGTAACCTGGACATCCTTACACCTCTCCTATGCCTCCTTTTTATTGAGTTCTGCCAAGAAATGCTTGTTCATCCACACAGGCTTCCTGTCCATTTCAATGGATTTCCTGGCCATCAGGATGGCCATTCCTGAACTTGAGTTCCTACACAGTAATTCTAGAGGTACCAAGTCTCTTTCTGAAAGAACTTGCTGTCTATTACAACTGACAGAAAAAAAAATCTATTATAATATGATCATTAATGTAGTATTAATAGAAAATACTCTATTTACTTATGTAAGTCATATATCATTCCATCTTACTGAATGAAAATAATATACTTACAGCTTGACTAGGTATATTGTCAGTCTTAAGTTCTCTGTGATTGGAATACTGAATATACACAGGCTGATTGTGGATGTGAGGTATAGCAGAAGAGCAGTAGTTCACCATACTAATAGCATTTTCCTCAGAGGCCATTTCCAAAAAAGCCTGCAATAGAATTATAATGGTATTTAACATGATTTAGTTTACAGGAAAGAACAAAACATCAAATCATAACATATTCCTATTACAGCTCTCACCAGAAAAAGAACATGTGAAAGTATAGCATTGCACTAAAAGGTGTTCATTTATGCAAGATTGTGGGGATATTTGATTTGAATCTCTTAAAAGACTTATACATTTTAAGTACAGTATATTACTAAAGAAGAGTTGGAATAAGTATGACATATAGGAAGGCATGCTAATAAAAAATCATTGCTACTGGATTTATTAGAATCCTGAATACAAGCGTTATTGTTTCAGTTGCAAATGCATACAATGACTGAAGTAGGAAGAGGACACTAAATATCTATTGGTTTCTGCACAAAATTAACCCAGTCCAATGCTGCATACAATTTCTGAATTAATGTCTGTTGTTTTTTGAATTTCAGTGTTTATTTATGATGTAAATCACCCATCACCTGAAAGGATTTGAAGGAAAAGAAAAAAAAAAATATTTCACATAAAAGAATTAATCTCCATGTTAATTATTTTAATTGAGCAGGTCATTTCAAGACAGCTGTCAACATAAATATCAGCAAAGTAGTTCTTGATCAGCACACGTTCTTACATAAGATGTGTATAATGTTTACAGCTAATGTCAATGAGTTTCTAGACTACTATATAATCAGAAAATATATGAAAAGAAATGAATGCCAAGACATTTTCCCAACTGTGAAAAAAATGAAAGTTTTGAGCCTTAAATGAAACACTTAGACATCACTGCAATCATTTCAGTCACAGTACCAAAAGCATTAAAGAAAAGAACGACATGAGCAGGCTTGCTGTTATAATTGTTACCTGACTTTTTCCTCTTAGAATCAGCACATTGGTTACTTTGCCAAAAGGGAGCCCTAGTGAAATGACATCTGCTTCAGTGGCATTATCTGGAATTTGACGAAGATGAAGGACACGAGAAGGCATGCATGGCAATCTCACTCCTTTAAATTTCGTGTTGTCATTCCCATCACCTAAAGTGTTATAGTAAAGAAATGGACCAACAAATAAGACAAACTTATTATGCAGTATAAATGCCAAAACCTAAATGGGAGAAACTGCTGTCTCAGTACTGACATTAACTGTTTTCCATAGCTTTTTGAATTCTAAGAAAGGTCAGCTCATATATAAACCACTGAGAGTTTGAAAAGGTTCCCTTCACCTGTTCCAAATCTCCACAATAAATGTGAGGTCCTTCCACTTTCCTTTCCTTTTTCCTTCTCTTTCATTTCCCTGTCTTCTGTTGGTTTTTGTTTGAAGTCTTGCAACTGGAGATGCTAGTAACTTCTTTCCAAATATGCATGAAAGATATTTACAAAGCGTTAATTACACAAAAGGGCAAGTTGTAGTAACTGGGAGGTAATATTCATTATTTTATTACTAACTTATCTTCCTGCATTCTAGTTCCTCAGCCAGACTTAGCTGCTACCTCAAATAATTAACAACAACAACAACAAAAACATTAAAGAAAGTCTGCTGTCCCATATGTCTAAGTTTAAAAGAATTCTGTTTGAAAAGTAGTCAAGGCAGCGAAGCATGAAATCCATACAGCCATCCACTTTGGCAAATGGCTTTTTATTTTTATTTTTATTTTTTTTTTTATGATCTGCCTATTTGAATCCTGTAACTGGTAAGTGATCAACAGTTGCTTTCCAAAGCAACTTGATTCCCTGAGAGCACTTTTAAGCAGAGCACCACAAAAAAAAAAAAAAAAAAAAAAAAAAAAAAAAAGAACCTGGCATATTGTTCTAGGGGGTATCGCAATGGAGTAATAACAGTTACAGTCATAAAAATGAAATTCACCAATCAATCTACAGATTTCAGTAACAGATACTCCTAGAGGAAGATACAGAGATATAAGAGACTTGAAAAAATATCCCAAAACATAACGGAAGATAGCATGCTGGTAACTGAATTTAAGTCTAACTGCGTACCACATTATACACTGGCTTTTCTCTTCTTTTCCTCCTATTTATGTGCTACAAACAGCTTCACTCCAGCAAAAGAGAGAGAAGCTTACCACCACCTCATCTGTTGCATCTGCCATATCACAGAAGCACAAAAGATGACATATCTGTATGAGTTTAGCATGTTATTTCAGATTTTCTTATAAATTTTGACTGCAGTGCAAAGCGTTTCACCCAGGTTATTTTGTACACAAGCAAAGGTAATTAATGCCTGTATAACTTATGAGTTTGTTACACTTTGCTTTATCCATCAAGAAATTTTAAATGCTATCGTATGCTCTCTGTGCATTCTAGAAAACATAAAAAGAGGTAAACTTGCTGGGGAGGAGATTTTAAGACAAAGAGAAGTATACTAAACATGCATCAGTACAAAACCAGGACAGGGTATATTGCTATTAAACCCCAATGATCTGTACCATTTTGTTAAATGTAATTAGAAGGCTCAAAAAAACCAGGATGAAGTCCTTGACTTTACTAAGCTGGGTACTGCTTGACTAAATAAAGCAGAAAATGAAACCTAACAAAGATATTGACTTTAAGATGAGCATCTCTTGCAAGGGTGACATCTTGTGGATTCTGAATCATTTCTGAAGGTGACAAGATGGAACTAAGTGGCAAGCACAGCACTATCTCACTGCATCTTGCCTATTAGAGGAGTTCACTGGTCAGGCATCAGCCAAAAAGGACAGTGCTTAACAGAACAATTTCAGCCTGAGTATGTGCAACATACATCATCCCTTCTACCATCTACCCATTAGCATAAATGTGTTAATGACTAACATCTGACCTAAAAATTTCATAAGTATCTTTTCAGTAATGCTGTAAATACACTAAGTTTTGTAGAATATGAGTTAACTCGCTAAATTGATAATAAAAGCTAGCCCTCCTTCATCCCCAACACAAAGACCTCAGCATATTTTAAACCTTTATACTTCTTTCTCTAGCTATTGTCTGATATGGATCTTAATAATATACTTGGATTTACTGGCACCTGAACTTGAAAATGGATTCAATATTCTTCAAAGCATGCCCAGGACCATCTCCTCTTTGGAATTCACACTTAATTGGGTGAAAACAGAAAATAGATATTCATAAGAGACACCTTCAAACAAAATTAAATTAGGGCCCAGTATTACAAACAAAAGCTCATTACAATCATGATTCATGACTGTATGAATGTATTTTCTGGGTGAATAACTTCAAATTGAGAAATGCAAAGAGATTCTAGATAAACGATCACTACATATAGGAAACTCTGCAGTTGAAGCTGTTGTATTTGGTAAAAAGCTTCATCTCAACAAAGATTATTAAAAGAAGTAGAGAGCCACCAGTGGGAACTCGGGTTTTTCAGGACTTGCTAGGAGCCAAAACCATCCATCTTATTTTAAAGATCAATAGCATTTAGAAACCCTGGAAGTCACTATGAAGTATCAGTGACTACAGTGATAATTAATAAAAGCCAAATGCACTAAATACAAATTTATATTCCTTGCCAGCTGGCAATTTCTTACAAAAAGTACTACCTATACAGGCCTGAAATATCTTTCAGCCATTAAATTACTGAATTATAGACTTATGCTGTTTCATGACAAGCAAGAGGCTCTGGATGTCATACTAAATCAATTAATAGAACTATGAACAATCCAGCATGTGCAAATAAGAAATAGAAAAGAATGTTCAGATTAGTTCCTTTGTCTCTCCCTTAATCTTATTTCCCATTGGAAACACAGCCAGCAGATCCTAAAAGCTTATGAGGAGATTGTTTGCTCTGTCCCTTGCACTCCTACAAAATCACACATTGATGGAATATTGTCTATGTCACAAGCTAGTTAACTGTAAGTAATATAAATTAAATTTTGCAGCCATGGGCCATGAATACTTCAAGCCCACATGAAAAGAAAATATTTCTAAAGGAAATAGTCCCAGCCTTCTCCCACATTTAACTTATTGCTTGATCTAAAATTTCCTGTGCTAGAATACTCTTACTGCATCTTTCTCAATACATTGGTATGGTATCTCAATACATGGTATTTCTTGGTCCAACCCAACAAGTCACTTTTAGAGCTCCTCAACACTGCAACTGGACAACACTGGGTAGACTCCAGTGCCTCTACTGTTAGAGTCATCCTTACACAGTTCAAGACTGATTAGAAAGCTAAGTGTGACAATTAAGAGCTAAATAAATAAATAAAAATGCAGAGAAAATACATACATTGTTGAAGAAGAACTGCGATAAAAATGAACTGTAATAAAGATATACTTTTTCTTATACCTTTAGCTGGAGTAGAATTGCTCACAGTAAGAGACCTTCCACTGACACTGGAAGAAAGCAGATTGTCAGGTCCATGCTGAAAAATAAAAGACAAGTTTACCAGCAAAAGCTGTTACAGAGAAAAAGCCTGATAAAAAAAAGCTCATTCTATCTTATTATGCTAGTTAGCAAGTTCAGACACGTTACACTTATTCTCTCATTTATCTTACTATAGTCCATGTTGTGAAAGATTAACAAACGTTTATTAAAAGGAATTAGTTGGTAGCAGGCTGAGTCTGTACTCAACTTTGCTTCCAGATACAGATAAACACACAGCCACACTGATCAGCAGTTGTGCTGACCTCAAAACATTAACTTGCATTTTCAATATAGCTGTAATAGTTTTTTTTAAACTTAGTTATCAGCTGGAGAATTTGACCATGGATCACCCATACTTACAAAAAAAAAAAAAAAACAAACCAAAATGAAGCAATGAATAGTACATTCTTTAGGAATATGGAGAATTTGTGGCTCTAACCACTAACAGGAAGGAGTTGGAGCAACATGGATTTGGCATTTTTGGACGAGGAATCTAAGATGCCAGAATTAACTGGCAACTGGGCACTGATTTTAACCATTAGGTTTACTGTAGTACGCCAGTCAAGCATCACCTTTTCACACAGTTCTTCAAAATGCCAGAGAGGTACTTCCTAAGACAATTAATGTTCTCAAAATTTGCAGTGCACCGCTCTGTAAGAGTATTTACATGAAAAAAAGTTGAGGCTGAGGGAGCTAATTTAGAAAACGGAGTAAGCAGATCCAGAAAGCACAACACAACTTCGCTGAAAGGAGAAGCTCCCATTGCCCTTGCCACAGCATTCCCACCAGCTCCATAAAATGTGCAGCTTGTGCTGCATCAGTTCTGGTGCCTAGGAGATTCATTATGAGATGATTCAATCCTTCACTAGTGAGTTTCAGCAGTTTGAATCAGGTTAGTAAGTTCATCAGCTGAAAACCAGATCCAGAGTAAGGGAAAGGCAAGGAGAGATGTTTCTGTGAAAGCATCCTTAGGGCAGCAGTAAGCCACCATACTGGTTGGTATGGGCTGCAGAACTATTTGCCATTGAGAAGTGGTTATAAACTGTGCATAAATAAACTGTTCGGTCCTTTTTGTCCTTGCAGTTTGCCATGGCTTCCTGCTTCTTCCCCAGTGTTCACAGAATCACAGAATGGTTTGGGTTGGAAGGGACCTTTAAGATCATGTAGTTCCAACCCCCTGCTCCAGGCAGGGACACCTGCCTCTACACCAGGTTGCTCAAAGCCCCATCCAGTCTGGCCTTGAACATCTTCAGGGTGGGAGCATCCATAGCATCGCTGGTGAACTTGTTACAACGTCTCACCACCTTCACAGTAGAGAATTTCTTCTTAATATCTAGGCTAGATCTACCCTCTTCCAGTTTAAATCCACTTCCCCTCATCCAGTCGCTATCTGCCCTTTTAAAGAGTCCCTCCCCAGCTTTCCTGTGGACTGCCCTCAGGTACTGGAAAGCCACTATAACATCTCCTTGGAGCCTTCTCTTCCCAAGGCTGAAGAGCTCTAGGTCTATTAACCTGTCCTTGTAGAGGAGCTACTCCAGCCTTTAAATCATCCTTGTTGCTCTCCTCTGGGCCCATTCCAACAGCTCCATGTCCTTCCTGTGTTGGGGGCCCCAGAACTGGACACAGTACTCCAAGTGGGGTCTAGGAAGGTCATTCACAACAGAATGTCTATCTAGGTAAGGGTGGTGAAAAAACTTCACAGGCAAAGTTAGCTGCTCACGAAACATCACAAGCGTTAGAGTGTGGATTAAAACAAGACTGTGTTCATCCCTCACTGGCAGCAGAAAATACTTTTGAATCAAGAAATCACATCTTGACAGTACAAATGCAACATCTGTTACAGTAAGCACTGAGAAATAATCTTAAAAAAAAAAAAAGAAATAAAAAGTATAGAAAACATTTTAAAGGAATTCTGATTCTGTTTTCACTTGCCTCCAATTAAATCTGTTTCCAATAAAAATATAAGCTATTGTAAAGAGCAGCTTACTTAGTTGAGAAATACGGTACACTGTAAGTCATACAACCCAACTCATACTTATTTGCATGGCCCACTTTAATTTTGTAACCGTTTGTGGATGAAATGATAGCTGGATTTCCAGTAATCTCATATTCTGTTTGGTTAGATGCTGGAATTTAATTAACACTCAAACTAGCATTAATTTTTAGTTATTACACGTACCTTAAGTATGCAAACACCTGGGTTCTGAACTTCTAAGTAGGATATTTTGCTTGTAAAATACTGCTGTAACTTCAGTTGACAGGTATTTTAGCTTTTTTTTTTTTTAATTAAAAAAAAAAAAAATAGTGTTTATTCGACAGAATAAATATCTGCATTTGTTAAGAAGGCCGAATCAAAAGTTGTTTCAGTATGACAACCTCCAGCAGCAGGCGCCTCTACAGGGTATCTTGTAGCTATTTTGCTGTTTCATTAAAAACTCTGGCAAACATACCTATGATTATTTTAACAGATCAAGTTAGTTTCAAGGACTTAATATACATTCTTACAATTTCATATTTAATTTAAATGAGCTGATACCCAAAAAATACGCTGAAGGCTTTTTCAGAACAAAATATTTTCCCAACCCCTTACATTTTAAAAGACTTTCATAACTGATTCAACCCAGGACTCAAATAAGCATCTTCAGCCAGAAACCAGAACCCACTATTTCAGCAAGCTATTTACTTAAAATTTATGCAGAAATTAACAAAGCGTGTAAAGGCAGGATTTTCACAAGTCAGATTAAGTTGTCTGAGGATGAGAAAAATCTACAAACTATGCACTATTAGATATACGTATTTCATGGAATTTATATTGCACAACAAATAAACAAAAAGATCTGCTTTCAACAAAAATTTCACTGCTTCCAATACAAAGGAAGCATCATCAATTTACAGCTTTAGTTATTTTGCAGGTATGGCATATGAAATTGTAACTGGAATGTTTGACACTGACTTCTGGGCAAAATTCTTAGATTGCTTCCACAAAAAATACTAACATTCAGGGTTTAAAACACCAAGAAGAACAGACAAGCCTTCATAACAAATCACAAAGGCCATAACTCGCTGTAAGAGATAATACAGAAAATCTGTAAATCAAACAATCTTCCTCTTAAAGATATTTCAGCCATCTCAGAACAAGTTCAAGCATATTCTGAAAGAAAATAAGCAACTTTCTTAATAAATCTGCATCCTTTATGGGCCATTCCATGAATACAGCTTCCTTGAGTGAGGAATTCCACATTGCTTGTGGATTTGTGCTGCAAACCAGATCAAGGAAACAAATCCAAGCTATTGAACACGCGCACACAGACATATTACATTTTATTACACCATTATCTGAATACTCAACAGAAATACTGTTCTGATATGCAACTTTCTGTCCTAACACTAAATTATTTACCTACCCACACAGTTACAGTCTATCTACTTATTATGCTGCGCTCCTTACAAGAGCCTGCTACAAGAGAACTGCTATCAAACTTTTGGCAGACAGATGACCAACCTACTTCTAAAGCACAAGAACACCACAAAGACCACGTTCTACATTTTGTCTTTTATCCGACCATGCAGCTGATCAACTTTCTCAGTCTGAAACAAAAATCAAACCCAATGTGGAAACATTCTAGAAGAATGCAAAGATTGACACAGTTCTCCTGTAAGCCGAAGCACAACATGCAAGTGTTGTGGCTAGTCTGTAGAAGGAAAGAAAGAAGTTTTTGTCTACCAGTGTCCTCCTACATATTTACAAACACAAGTCTACAGAGGGATGACAGAATTCAAGTTCTCAAATTCAGTTCCTCTCTCTTTCCCAGAAAGCACTGAAAGGAATACTTAGAAGCATAATAAAGTATGAGGTAGGACAAAGATCTAAACCTGCACTGCTAAAAAAGCCAGTGATAAAATGACTACACAAGAAGTTACTTCAGTCTGGGTATTATGCTAGAAATTCTTATTAAGTCTTTCTGTTGAGGCTCAACAGTCTTGCCAGTGCTCCTACTTTCTCTCTGTACACAAGCTTTCAGTTGGCTTATTTTTAGTTAAGTTGGCTTAGTTTTACTTTAGAAACTCCAGCTGGAAAACTAATTAGAGCAACCAAATCCTGCTTTAAAAGTTACTCTTCATATCCTTCTTGCCACTGATATTGATACACTTGGCAGGAACTTCTTCCAGAAAGATGTCAGCTTACAAGGCCCTTACACCAATGCTGCTGTTTCAGCTCTGACACCACAACAGTCTGAGTTGACCACAGTATCTTTTGTCCCCATTCTCATACCAGCATCCCAAACACATCAATAATCTCATGATGGGCTAACATTATTTTTTCTTAAATCACAAGCTGACTTACATCTCTCCTCTTTCTCCACAAGATTGCTGCATTTGTTTGGAATTACTGAGCATTGATAAGAGCAACAGACCATCCAACAACCAGACCAAATTGATTCTTTAGTTATTGAGTAGGAATTTAAAAATGGTGGAAAGTATAATTTTAAGCATTTCTTTAAAATAAGTAAAATCTGTAGTGGCAAACAACTAGCCCAGCAAGTGGTGTCTACAGGATGCAACAACCAACGACAATTTCATGAAACAATTTTTCCTAATCTACTGTGGCCAATTTCCCTGACTAAAGGCATGTTACAAAACTTCAGATTACAGCAATTGATGCCTTCCTTGGAATTCCATATATTGTTCCATGATTTTAAGACATCTGATAGCAAAAATTCCATAACTCAGGCACTTCTAACCAAAAGTTAGAGCAACCTCCTATCTTTCTTGCACAGATTTTCCAGTATAGTTAACTACAAATGGAATAATCTGTGACTAACTCACATTCCATATGAAAGATATACTGTTTGTTTTCCTACAGAATATCTCCTTTCTGAACTGCTTCCAAGATAAAAATAATAATAATAATAATGATATGATCATAGCATCCTACAATCTACGAGACAAATAAAAAAATTGGCCCAATAAAATAATAATTCATCCTAAACACACCTT